ATTAAGGAAAACTTTATGCAGGACTATCACGATTGGTGATAGTAAGGACTATTGCAATAAAATCATACACGTGGGGGAGTGAGATGGGGCTCAGCTCCAATTGCAGCCTGGGGAAGTGGGAATTTAGAGCCAAGGAGTAAGTAGTAGGGTGAGGGGGATTCTGGCAAAACCAGCCTAATAGGATTCTTGCTGAAGGCAGGCCAGGGTGATCAGACATCACTTGGAGTTGATAGAAGATGTGCAATCTGGTCAGCTATCAGGAATACTCAATACCAGGTGTAGGGGTGGTTCTTTCTAAAGTGATGTAGCAGAGATCTTGGCTGGGGATGGTGGCTCACTCCTGTAATCCTAGTACTCCGGGAGGCTGATGCAGAAGGATTGCCTGAGCTCAGGAGTTTAAGATCAACCTGAGCAAGAACTAGACCTCATCGCTACAAACAAATAATAGGAAAATTCCTAGATGTGGTGGCATGTGCCTGTAGTCCCAGCTACTCAGGAGGCTGAGGCAGGAGGATCACTTTAGCCCAGGAGTTTGAGGTTGGTAGGAGCTACGATGACACTACTGCACTCTCATCAGAGCAACAAGGGGAGACTTTGTCTCCTTCCTTCCCCCCAAAAGAAAAGATTTAGCAGAGTTCTTTGCTAAAACTGGATTTTATAAGGGAGTGCACAGAGGGACCTAGCACAAGATTGAAAGCCTGACTAAAGTTTGTCTGAGGAAAGAATCTTTGTCGTGGGGAGCTAGCAGTCTCTACTCAGGTACAGCACCCGCCTTCACATAGGCACACACTCCCCAAACCATTGCTTTCTCCCCAGAGCACACATGGATTACTGTCTGTGAAGTAAGCTTTCCTGAACATATTTATCTTTTCAGATTATATTCCGTCTCCTGAGTTTTTAGCCCCATTTACACAGTTTTAATTCTTCGGGAATGGGATTGTGCAATGGAAAGAGCACTGGCCTTGCGATATATAGAGGACCTGATCTGACATCTGAGCTTCCATTTCTTTCTTTGGATAATGGAAATAGAATCTCTCTGCCCGTGTTTTGCAGGCTTCTTTTAGGATCAGATAGGCACCTTTAATGTTTATTCTGGGACACTAAAATTTAAACATCAAACAAATACATGTTGTCATTATGATGTTTATGTTAAAAAATCAAACTATTTATCTTTTTAACAGAATGAGCTGTTCGATTGCCTGACTTTTCTCTTATGGCAAATCACCAAGTCTGGAAACCTTAGTCTTCTGGCCACATCTCACCCACCACCCCGGTTGTAACAGGCCAGGGGTTTCCAACCTGTGGCCCGCAGGCTGCATGCTGGTTTTGTAAGGACTTTTTTTGCTTACCTGTCTGTGGCATCAGTTAACACAAAAAGCGTGCATGGACCTTTTTTTGGTAATCAGCTTTCCTTAGTATTTGTGTATTTAATGTATGGCCCAAGACAACTCTTATTCTTCCAATGTGCACAGAGAAAAAAATAAGTTGGGAACCCCTGTGATAGTCTGTGATACTTTTCTCTTAGTATCTCTCCATCTTTACGATCTCCACCTTCCTTCCTGCTGCCCCTTGTTGTTCAGGGCCTCTCTTGGCTATTAGCTCTTAGCTCTCTGAGTTGATCTCAGGCCTTCCTCTCCCATCCTATCCCATTCCATCCCACATCTTTACAAGTTTCCACACAGACTTCATTCTTATTTTTAAGGATATAATGTACTGTGAGATTGTTCCGTCACAATTTAGTAAATGTTTTTCTACATTGGGGCATTAGGTTATTTATATTTTTAGTTGTTATAATGTGGTAGATACTTTGTGTGTATGTGTATACTATGTATAATATGGATATGTATATAGTTTATGATTATTTTGTTAAATTCCTGCAACATGAGTTATTGGATTATAGGATGATTCTTTCAGACTTATGCTTTATTTTCTTACATGTTCACCAAAGGCTATTTCCAATTCATATTTATGAACAGCAGAATACTGCATATCATGAATGTACTATAGTTGAGAGGATCAAAATATACCATCCCCAAATTTGTTGCTTTGGCATACCGATTATTTTGAGATAAAGGCTCTGAAAAACAGCAGCTACAAGAAGATATTCTGACCTTCCTTTTTCTTCCCAAAAGCAGGAGATGAAACTTCTAGGAGAAAGTTGCCCTCT